AACACATCGGCAGGAAAAATGAAGAAGTTGTTCCATGTACAAAATGAAACACTTTGCTCCATACAAAGATTAGATTTCTAAATCAACAACGTTAGATCTCCAAAATTTGCACTTTTTTCATTAATACCAAATTCCCAAGAATAACGTGTAAATGCGAACGGCGACATTGTTTCCGGGTCGTTGTTGTTGTTTTTTTTTTACTTTAAAACCTACTCCAGAAAATCGCAAAGAGTCGTGTCCTTTCAATTTATCCCATTTGGAGTAGGGGATTTAATTCATGAAGAGCTTTTCATTATCCAATGACAGGTGCACAATACATAAGTCAAAATACTGCACTTTTTGTTACATCCTCCCGTGTTGTTGTACAAGTTTGTCTTTACGTTACTGCGCAACCGCATGTAATAATGTTGATGACGTATCCCAAAGTCTTAATGAACACTGATAAGAAGATGTAAGCTGTAACTTCAATAAAAGTGCAGCGACTGCATTATCCCAAACAAATCTTCATTAAGCGGAATTTTAAGCATGGGTAAGGAGAACTTCAGGTTGAAAAATGGATTATCCCTGGTGTTTTAAAGGCAAACACTACAACTGTGACGTTGGCAGTTTGCCAGCCAAAAACCTTTCAAGTAGAAGTAAAAGCTCTGGAACACAGACAAACCAAAACAAAATATCTCAACGAAATATTCATCTGCATTGAAACCACCGTTATTATTTCGTTGGACATTGAAATTGTTATTCCCAGTTAAATTTAGATTGTATTTAGTTTAGATTACAATGAGTATGTGTATGCCGTATAAATTAATATCAATTTTCTTCCTTTGATTGTGTGTAATCATGTCTGAAATTTCCAATTTTCTTTCTTGACTAGTTCAATATTCCGTTGAGAACGTACGCAGTGCCTAATGGTTGCATAGAAAACATCTACATGTACATCCTTGTCACGAATTCAGAATTTGTAATTTCGACTCATGCTACGATTGCAAATGCTTGAAACAGCAACATCTTTTGTGTTCAGAAGTCTCTGTCTCTGACTTGGAGATGAAATGCACTTAGAGAAAGATCAATTTGATATTTCTGAATATTTACGATTGTTTTTAAAATGTTGTTTAACGGTAGTAATGCGGTGTGTGCGTTTGTTTCCACGGTGTAACATATGCATACGCTTTGTGGCGCTAAGCTGTGGCCTACACAGATCTACAACGACAATTCATCTGAAGAATGATCACTACAATAGATATCCGGTAAAGGTTATCTAATCGTAGTTATTGTTGAAAGATATCCAGAGATCCTTTGTGCCAGTAATGAAATAAATCTTCGACGAGTGGAATTGTTAAATGAGTCATTATGCGCATTGAACTTATAGGCACGACAAGGAACATGTGCAATGATGTAACGGGAAAATCCTTACTCGAATTCCAAGTAAAGATAGGACTGGTACCAAATAGCCTGTGAAATTATTCCGCCTGAAATGGTGTTTCAGAAAAGAAATCATTGAAGGTGCGTGGTTTAAGGAAGTGTACTCGTGCGGGCACAGTTTTTACGTGCTATTTACGAGACCCAAAAATGTGCATAAATATCTCTTTTTTTGGCAGCAATTCTGTAGCTCCAAACAACAAAAATGCGCAAAAAGCAGATGATCCTATGAAAGTTGTCTGCATAGGCGTAGCCAGGGGGGGGGGGTGTTAAGGGGGTATTCCCCCCAATATCTAGTAAAGATTGCCCTTTTTTATTCAAATGTCCTCTTTTCACCAGCGCTTACCCTCCCCCCCCCAATATTTTGTAAAGAGTGCCCTTTTTTCTGAACAAGTGCCTTTTTTTTCTGAACAAGTGCCCTTTATAAAAGTATGTGGTGGCCTTTTTGGTGCCTTCGGCCGTTGCAGGTGCCTTTTTTGTTAATTTTCCGCATGTATCTCCGTTAGAAGCACCACATATTGTCCGTTAGTAGTGTGCATAATCGTCGGTTTTGAACAACGCCCCCAGCGACAGATGGTACCACCCCCCCCCCCCCCCCGCCAAGTGTCCGGGGAAAAAAAAGTGTCTACATTTGTGCAAGTGCCCTTTTCCAAAAAAATTACCCCCACCCCAATAAAATGACCGTGCTACGCCACTTGTTCTGTACATTATTCTAGTGAGGGACGTTAAGATTCAGTTTCAAAAACAAAAACCGCCGAAATCAATGAACAATTAGTTACATAAAGAAACATACTAACTTCACTCTAGACGTCATTGATCGATCCTGACATTTACAGCAGTTTTGGCCGTTAATGACCTTTCTGGTCAGTGACTCAGCCAACCAATCAGTCGATGACACAGTCAGTCAGAGGACGAGAGACATAATGCGTAGTGGCCATCTTAGAGGGCATCTTTCGTTATTCTTATTCAGTAACAATGAATGCACAAAAGGTTCGCGCTCATGCATATCCCAGCAAAACAAAGGCTTTGCCCTTCTCAGATGGTGGCTACGCATAACGTCTATAGGCTGCCCTTTCGGGTACAGCAAAAACAGTAAATGTGGTTTTATACATTTGAATAAGCCATTTGCGAGTAACCTATACCATTTGGGATTTAAATTCGAAAAACATCTGGTACACTGACTTGCTCAGAATGCTTGGCACATTTTAACTTTGAATTCTCCAGATCAAATACACTGTTGCTAATCACATGATTCGGGGCAAGCTCTTGGTTTGAGACGCTCAGCACCAACACATTGTTCACAATGGGTGAGAATGGCACAAAGACACCAGACCATGCCGGAGCTTGGGGTTGCTAGCATAAGGGCTTGCCCCGAATCACGTGATATAGTAACAGTCTCTTTGGTCGGGAGAATGCAGAGTTAAAACGTGCAAAGCATTGAATTAAGTCAGCGTTCCAGATTGTATTCAAATTTAACTCGAGGCATGTCAGCAACCGATTTCAGGGAGGGGGTGGGGCGGGGGGGGGGCAAAGTGAGAGATTGTGGAAACATTAAATCAAGCCTTGAGAAAGGCAAAATCACAAATTTATATATATACATTTCAATTAACAGACAACATATTCCATGTGACTGATGCTGCAGCGTTCGTGATTCGTGAATGTAAAGATGAGTGTTTGCACTTGTACACATGCGCGTATCATATTGTCCATGTTGATAGTGACAGAAAATGACAGAAACTGTGTTAGTGACCTAGTGCTAAACTACCATGTAGCGTTGCGTACTCTAGGCAAGGCTTGGTTATATCCAAAACAACTCTCCGTATATATATGGGCCCTGTACTCTCTAGTCTTGTATGAATAATACAATCTACAAATGAGCGCCCTAACTTAATTACTGACATACAAGGTGAGTAAAAAAAAAACGAGACCCGAATGATTTAGTGAAGTTCAGCACGTAGCACTTTTAAAATCTAGGATATGATAGCCCAATTCATAAGCTTTCTTTTAGTACAAGAATCATTTCAATTACTTGTGTACTTTTTAAGTTACGGAGTTTTAAAGTCACAACCACCGTTTTAAAGTTCTGTCCAAAACGGCGGTTGTGTTTTAAAACTCCGTTACTTAAAAAGTACATGAGTGATTTGAATGATTCCTCTACTAACAGAAAGCTTATGAATTAGACTTTTCTATCCTAGATTTTAAAAGTGCTACATGCAGAACTTCACTAAAACAATGGTCCCGACATTTGGGTTTCGTTTTTTTTACTCACCCTGTATAGTTTTAATTTTTGAGCAGCTACAATGATTGTTTGTGTGTGTCCAGTACAAAAACATGAGTGGATGATTCATTGGTCCATCCCCCTTTGTTGGGTGTCATAGTCCAGTCCATCACAAGTCCTTTCACAATTCCTTTTACAATAAGGCCAGTCGCAAGTAAAGGACGAACAAAGACAAAGGAATATTTTTTTTACAGTTCATTTGAATAGCTAGTTTGACTTGAATGAAACTGATGAACGAGTGATGGACTTGTGATGGACTTGCAGGGACTTGTGATGGACTACAATACTGTTACAAAGTGGGGCGATATATCCCTCTATCCCCAGGATTTGCGGTCATGTTCGTGCAAGAGAACAGACGGGGCTGGGTTGAGGGGAAAGAGGCTTAAAAGCAAAATGAACGTAAGAGGGAGAACGTGGATTGAATTCTATGCGGATTGCTAAGGAACAGGTGCTTCATGAGTGGGGATTTTCGTTTAGTGTTAAACGGGCAGGGCGGCTAAAGAAAAATACAGGGTGATGAAGAAAGGAGATCTTTGGAGAGATAAAATGACACTTCGTTGGTTGCTTCACGAGACGAGCAGGCGACAGTTCAGAAGAAAAACAGAAGAGAAAGGGGAAAGATGGACGCCGCACTGCTTCTGACGTGTCTTTGGTGAAACAAGCCTTTAAGATCATATCAATTCGGACACAATGTAAGGGATTACCTGAGATAGCATCTGGTTCTATTTGACAGATAATGGTCTTGAGAAAAAAAAATTGAAATACTTCAGAAGTTTCATTTTATAGATGGACGAGATGATGCGGACAACGATAAGTTTTAAGAACCCTTTTGAGAGAGGCAGATTCATGGATGACAAAAATATGGGGAAACCGTGACACATCATGAAATGTTTAAAAAGGAATTTATGATTTGGGTTGGGGTGGGGTGGCAAGTTGGCGACTACCTACTCCTCTGTCGAACGAAATCGGTACACATTTACTGGACAAAATCTCACTTTTGGCTCCTCCTGTAGTTAAGTTATGGCATATGGAAGAAAAAATATCTCAGTTCATCCATTTAGGCCTTGTCTCTCAACTATCCCTATGAAAACTACTTGGACTTTAACACCTGTACCCTTTTAAAACATCCGGGATCCCCACTAGATTCTTCCAAAACCCCGCAAGATCAAACACGGCTTCGCATGCAGTCAAGAACTTAACTTTTTTTTAACAATCAGACACAATTTCGCAGGCCAACAGACAAGGAAACCTGGTAGACGAACAGACCAACAATCAGACGGACACCAATTAAATCAAGGCGACTTACCGTTATAGCCTTGCCCGATCAGATCGTCACCGCCCATGACGCAAAGACTGCCGAAACACACGGCCAGAACCACCAGCAGACAGCACTTGGTAAAACCCTCCATCTTCGCGCGCAAACTCCACACAGCAACCGGTCGCCGAGGTATCCTGAAAGAAAGTACGGTATCGAGTCAGACGGTCTTTATACAGCAATTCCCCGCTCCGTGCGTGGGTGGCGCCAGGATAAATCAACCTTTTATACATGTGCACGGGCCAGGCGTCCGTGCCGGAAGCGCGGCAGCGCCCTCTACGGCGGACTTGGGGAAAGTTTTCGATCATGTTCGCACATTTCCTCCCGGGATAGGATGGAAACAGAAAATAAGTTGAAGAAAAAATGTCCAGAGTGTTGTTTAACGCTTGGCCTTCGCACTATGACGTTATTGATTTCAGAAAAAAAAACAATCCGCAGATGAAACTGCTCTTTGATTCAAGTGAAGATTGTCCAACGGTTTAGTGCTCCGAACCGGTGCATCGGATGCGGTTTTAGTCATCTAGGGAGGGAGGCATTGTAAGATACCACACATGCGATTATAGTCATCTCAAAAGGCATTGAAAGATCCAACATAATTATCATAAATGTGCACTCGTGGGTATTTTGTTTTGTCTCTCTTTTGGGGTTACATCAATCTCTGATCACAAAACAGCAACAGAAATCTATATTCCTTTTCTGACAGCAACTTGTGATCGATGAAAATGTGTCGCACATTCGTCATGCTGATTTTTTTGGCTTGTGTAATAAATAGAGCACATCGTACTTATTAACGATTCTTTATCAGGATAGTACGTAGAAAGATTGAGTGCTCCGTCATAAGCACTTCACGGTAGGGGTGTAGGAAGTAACATATCTATATATTGAAGCTGTTACGAGGGAAATGATATGGTGACTTGGTGGACATTTTGCAGTTCAATCCCCGTTGATTAAGCTAATACATTGACTGTATGCCACTGTTATTTCGGTTGTGTACTATATGAACCTAGCAACCAGTTGTGTAAAAAAAAATTAACAAGTTGTGTAATGTTTTACACAAGTTGTGTAAACAACAGTTGACACAACGGTTTGCTAGGTTCATATAGTATACAACCGTCTGATTTGTACACAACCGAAATGGACATTCAGTGGTGGGCGTTCAAAGAAACAAACTCAGAGAATGTTTAATGAAACGTGACGCAACAATGTCATTTTGTCAGTAACAGACAGGTTTTCTTAATGGTAATTTCCCCCACGTTTTGACGGATCTCGAGCCGCCTGTTTTTACGGACTGAAATTTGTGACTTCACCTCCTCGCATTTAATTAGCGATAACTTTGATTTTTACCGTTAATGCAATTATGGACTCTGCCGTACAACCGATCATTGTGAGTTTACCGTCAAAACGCAGGTTGGCATATGCTGATCACACTACGGTGGCTAAAAATAAAATATACACTCTGACTGACCGCAGGAAATTACGCATCTTTTCCGAAGAATCGATAAAAAAAACGAAGATGAGAACATTTATTAGTAACCACAGACTGATGAAGTGAATCACAAAACCACTAGAAGACTAATGCATTTCCCCACTTATTGTCAAGGTTTAACTGAAAGCACCACACACACAAATCAACTTGGTATAAAGTACCACTTTCAGTTTTTGAAAAGCTATACAGGAAATAACGTCGATACAGAAATTAAAAGCCAACTATTTTAACTTTCGACCCCCCTTTGGAAGTTTTTTTTGGGACAGATAATCAGTTGCACCTAGCTCACCTTAAATTATTGCATGCATGACTTTTTTTTTAAATTTAAGTAACTTTAAAATGTACAACAGTTTGTTATTAAGCTTGGACCGATATTTGATAATCATTTGGATCTACGTAAAATCGCCAAGTTTAACAAAACCTTGCAATTTCGTTATTTATATTCCCAGTTAAAATAAGAAATAAATAAATATCCCCAACTTCATTTGAACATCCCTTCCCCCCCCCCAAAAAAAACCCATTCATTTTGACAAATTGGGCAGAAGATGACATTTCAAACAAACACTAAAATTTATTGTTCTTCCTAAATTGACGTTTATACGGAAGACGGATAGTGCCACTCAATGAGTGTGAATATATTTTTTTGGTGCGTGTGAATTTTTTTTTTTTTTGTACAGCGGCCGCCACTTATTATGTGGCGGCCGCCACATAATATGTGGCGGCCGCCACATAAAAAAAGTGTGAAAATATTTGTTTTGTACAGCAGCCGCCACTTATTATGACGACTTAAGCCCGGTTCATACTTCACGCGAAAGCAAAAGCGAAGCAAAATTCGTGACGTCCACCATTGTTGATGACATGAATTTCGCTTCGCACATGCTTTCGCGTGAAGTATGAACCGGGCTTTATGTGGCGGCCGCCACATAATAAGTGGCGGCCGCCGTACAAAAAAATATTTTCACACGCACCAAAAAACTGTATTCACACTCATTGATTTGCACTATCCGTCTTCCGTACGTTTACGACTCCCTTCGCGACTTCCACCCATGCACGCAAATAGTTACATTTAAAGGCATATCAAGGATCATTTGATTTTCGCACATTTTATTCGTTTCCAATGATAACACTACTCGAAATCCAAAGAAGAATGTTCAAAACCTAACCTGTTGAAGTTTCAGCTCAGTGGATATTACACCTTTTCGAGAAAGCAGTGGAAAAACCATGCACACTATTTTGATCACTGAATACGATTTTGTCATCTTAACTCTCTTTTTTCCCCAAAACTAATATCAGTCAATTGACTGATCATTGGAAATCACCTAGATTTTTTGATTTCTTCTAAATGACAGCAAGCCAGACGGAATAATTTCACGGGGTGTTTAGTACTAGTATACGATCTTTAATCCAAGTATAATATTTTTAGTGACAATTCGGTGGGTTACTTTTGGGGTAAAAGCAAACGATCCCATATGCCTTACCAGTGTACAATATTCGGATCTGATGAATCCCAGTCAGTATATTATTCACCATTGAATTCAAAGGCCTATAGCTTCAGGACATCCGATACGATTTCGATATCAATGTATTCTTCAAGTAGCCAAACACTTCCCCTTGTAGTGCTGAGCTAACACTCCTTGACGTTTAATACTCCGAAGACATATTTACAGTCCTCTTCACCAAACGAAACACATACACCCCAATCAAATATAAACATTATTAAAAGTTCCCGGGCTGTGACAGCGTAGTGTCATTACACGTTGCGATTTGTGGCGAGCCCACACGCTATTAAATCATCCTTCTCAACGTTCAACGGATTTAATAATTGATATCGCTGTGTCCAATAACACTCCAAGTACGAGCTTTCGTCAATAGTTACTCCTCCCTTATTGTTTATTTTCCCCCCGTTTTTTCAACAACACATCAAATATTGATGCCGCTCCTTCTGATATGGTGAAGTACATTATATCTTTCACGAGCACTTTGGATGAGAAAAAAAAGTTAAAGCTAGGAAAATGCAACCACTAACGTGAGTCTTACATCGCGCCGAGTTTCCCATGACAATAACTAAAACTTGTAAATGCGAAAGATGTATTTCCCTGGAGACTAGAGAATTGCAGTTTTACACATTATGCCGTCTGCGGGCTCTAGAGGAAAAAATACAAACTCCCGCAATATCATTAAATATCTGACCGTGGATCGTACGGCCTTGTCCCCATGAATTTCTCGACGGGGCAAAGCGTTTATAGCCGTTCGTGTTGACTTTTCTGTCGAGAAAGTACTCTGTTACCATCCCTGTATTGATATTACTCTCTTACCAACAGTACCTACTGAGTCGGTTCTATTAATTGTGATGTAAAGGAAAAGGCCATACAATTTGAGTGACCTGAAATTGACGTGAACTAAATTACACATCCTCACAAATTCGTCCAGTCTGTCGAAACAGGTCTTAAATATAAATCTCTAGTTTCTCTTATGAGTTAAAACAAAAGGACATAAAAATTGACTGATCTGAAATTGACGTCAACTAAATGACACACCTTCACAAATTCGTCCAATCTGACGAAACAGGTCTGAAAGACAAAATCTCTAGTCGTAATGAACAGGAAGAACATTTTCTGTTCTTCACTTTGATATATCATTCGGTTTTACATGTTTATGCAAAGATTACTTGGATGAAAACGACTGTTCGTATTGATTCCATTTGAGCAAGACGTAAAAATGGAGGTTCGAAAGAAGGTAACATGGCTGGCCTACGGACACAACACTTGGCTATCAATTTAATTCAAACCGCTGCCCCCAGAGTCAAAATCTTGGACCACTACAGGCCACACCCACCCCAACCTATCTTATTACAAACAGAAAACTTTCCTCTGTATTCTTCGTTAAAATGCTTGGTCTGCAACCGTTAGTAATCCAATTCAAAAATCAAAATGACATAATATTACATCAATGTGACAACTTAATGCAATAATGCTATGTATTTCGCAGAACTGATGAGGCTCATTTGGATGTTTAAAACATACCATGCTTCAATTTAATCAATGATGCAAAAGAAGCGGCGTTGATCCAACTAATGTGCACGCCAACATCTGCCGCGGGCTTTGTTATCATGTTATATCTTGTCCTCGCAACAAACTCGGAGGTTCTGACGTATTTGGGACTTGGAAACTTTCCTGAGGAACCCTTGCGGAAATGAAGGGTTAGGTCGTGTACATCAAATGCTACAACATATGAAAAACCGCTGCGTTTACAGTCATAGTTTGTCTTCTTTGCTTTTCTATTTAACTTGTTAACTTCCTTGTAATATTAGAAACTGAAGGGTGTGCATGAACTACACATGGACACAAACATGTTTACGTTGCATACGCAGTGTGGACATTCCTTTGTTTTCGTGTAGTTGAGAAAAACCTGTGAAAAAAAAATCATTTACTCACACTGTGAAAACTCTTTCAACCCATTTTTTCCCTATGATTCCCTTTAGTGTTTCTCTTCATTATGCCACGGACAAACCCGACCAACATGATGCCTCTAAACCGGTTTTCCAGAGAGGGGGAAACATTGTGTGGACGTGGGCAAGTCCAAACATTGTCGCTGCTACATGGTTTATGTGGACCTCTTTTGTTCGGAAGTCCACACATTGAATGTAATGTT